ACGTAAGATAAACGAGAAGTCGAGACTCGATACCGTTCTCGGGAAACGTACGGGAATGGTTCGAACGGGGATCGACGGCAAATCACGACGGCGAACGGTGACAAGCTCGGCGGCTTTGCTCGACTCGCGTGGGAGGAAGGCAGCGGCTGCGGCTATGACACGGCGGCGGGGGTTTTCTGCTACGAGGAGGAGCAGCCGACTGAGAGATCTCGCGCCGGCGGTTCTGCGGGCGGCGGAGCTTCGCGAGGATGGCGTCGTTCACGGCGTGCGGAGACTTGCAGGCGGGGGTCGTCGGCGATCGCTGGTTCATTGCTGCGCGACGCGGAGGAGGGCAGCAGATGTCGTCGGAAGTTGGGCCTGAGGTGCCACTAGCGGAGGTGCAGTGGTCCGTCGGCGGGAAGAGGTTGCAGGTGGAGGATGGTGAGGACAGGGTGATGGGCGGATTTAAGAGAGCGAGAGAGAGTGATGGAGATCAGTTTTTGAAAGAGACGAGAGAGGTTGAGAGAGATTGTTGAGCGATCAATGCAAGAGAGAAAGAGAGATCGTTGAGGCTGCGGCGTAAAATATGTTCAGGGAAGGAGATGGATACAGAAGTTGTATATATATACACAATAGAATTAGGTTGACATTTCTTGATTTACAAGAAAACCTCACACGCACACACACACACTCGAAATTGAGAAACTGGGTCTTGGCGGTTCGGTTCAAGTGGGCGGACGAACCGGTTCGGCTGCGCATGGGTTCAAATGCCATTGTTTCGGAGCTTGTTTCAGTCCGTACAAGGATTTGATCAATCTACACACCTTTCTCTCTTGTCCAGGTGCAACAAACCCTTCAGGTTGTTCCATGTATATTTCTTCTTCCAATTCACCATTCAAAATGCCGTCTTGACATCCATTTGGTGAATCTCAAGATTGTGCAAAGCAGCAATCGAGAGAAGCACTCTTATCGACGGTAAACGCGTAACTGGTGAATAGGTATCAAAGAAATCATACCCTTCCTTTTGTTTAAATCCTTTGACCACCAAGCGTGCTTTAAACTTATCAATCGATCCATCAACTTTATATTTCTTCTTTAGGATCCACTTGCATCCTAAAGGTTTACAACCATCAGGGAGATCAACCAACTCCCAAGTATGGTACTGTAAAATGGACTCGATTTCGCTATTTACAGCTTCTTCCCAGAGTGATCCATCGAAGCTGGACAGAGCTTCCTTAATGGAACTCGGTTCATCGTCCAACATACACGTAATAGAATCAGGTCCAAACGTTTTAGCCGTTTTTACCCTTTTACTACGTCTCGGTTCTTCATCAGTACCCTCTGGTACAGAACCACTAGCAGTTTCATATGTTCGTTTATTAGAACTAGATTCTGCCATTTCCTTTAGAGGAGATATATTCTCAAAGAATATATCATTCCTCGACTCAATCGTGGTACCAACAGATACCTCTGGATTTTTTGATTTATGAACCAGAAATCTATATGCTGTACTATTGTACGCATATCCAATAAACATACAATCGACCGTCCTTGGCCCGATTCTCATTTGTTTGGGTTCAGGAACTGAAACCTTAGCAAAACACCCCCACACTTTCAGGTATTTATAAGACGGCTTACTATTTTTCCACATTTCGTAAGGAGTCTCATTTTTTCCTTTAGGTGGTATTTTATTCAGAATATGATTTGCTGTTAAAACAGCTTCCCCCCACATGTTTTGGGGTAATCCTGAATTTATCAACATGCATTCATCATTTCTTTTAACGTACAGTTCTTGCGTTCAGCAACACCCTATCGATTGTGGAGAATAAGGGGCCGTTGTTTGATGAATTATGCCATATTCAGAACATATTTGTTCAAAAGGAACTACATACTCCCCACCCCTATCACTTCGAATTATTTTAATCTTTTTGCCGAGTTGATTTTTTCAACTTCAGTCTTATAGATCTTAAACGCTTTCACAACCTCTTCTTTGCTTCTTAACAAATATAAATAGAAAAACCTTGTGCAATCATCGATAAAAATAATAAAATACTTTTTACCAGTTCTTGTTTGCACATTTTTCATATCACATACATCAGTATGGATCAAGCCTAATGGTTCAGTACTCCTTTCAACCGAGTGAAAAGGCAACTTAGCCATTTTTGCTTCAATACAAATTTCACATTTCTTCTGTGATTCAATTTTAGAATTAGGAATTAATTCTAAATTCATTAACCGTTTAATTGCATTTAGATTTACATGTCCCAATCTAATATGCCATAATTAGAGCACTCAACGGTATAAACAGAAATAGGCTTTTCATTATCATTTAAAACGGTTACACGGCTCACGGCCATTACATTAATTTTGAACATACCCTTTCCAGATAGCCACGACCAAGGAAAGTTCCAAACTTGCTAAGAACAAACTTCTTAGCATCAAATACCATCCTAAATCCATGCTCAACAAGAAGAGATCCGGAGACTAAATTCTTGCGGATGTCTAGGACATGTAGAACATTCTTAAGCTTCAACTCTTTTCCAAAAGTCAGCTTCAGCACCACAGTGCCCACTCCAGCCACATCAGCCGTGGAGGAGTTTGCCATGTAAAGTTTCTGACTCTTAACAGGAGTGTATTCAGAAAAATACATCCTTATCGGAACACACATGATGAGTGGCACTAGTATCGATGTACCACTCCCTTGGGTTATCTACCATATTGGCTTCCAACACCACAGTCGACATATCAAAGTCGGTTAGGTCACCCGACACAGGACTGTGTTCAGCAATAAGGGCACTCGGTTTTCCTTTCTTTGGCCTCTTGCAATCTTTCGCCTCAGGCCTTCTTTCGCCTCTTGCAATCTTTCGCCATATGGTTGGGCTTTCCACAGTTGTAGCAAGTGCTGGTAAACTTCCAAACCTTGGCTTGCTGCTTCCCTTTTTCAAGGGGCTTCCTCTTGCTCGAGTTGCCTTGTTCCAGCAAGTTGGCACGAGCCTCTATCATCGGAATTTTCCCCGACGAATTACGATTGTCTTCTTCATTACGAAGACGAACTACCAAGTCTTCAAGACTCATTTCCTTCCTCTTATGTTTGAGGTAGTTCTTGAAGTCTTTCCAGCTCGGCGGCAGCTTTTCAATCACAACCGCAACTTGGAATGACTCGCTCAGAGACATTCCTTCAGCATGGATATCGTGCAAGATGAGTTGGAACTCTTGCACTTGAGACACAACAGTCTTAGTGTCAACCATTTTGAAGTCAAGAAACTTGCTGACGACGAATTTCTTCACCCCGGCATCCTCAGTCTTGTACTTCTTCTCTAACGCAGCCCAAAGCTTTTTGGCAGATCCAACCGAGCTGTACACATTGTACAACTCGTCACTAAGTCCATTCAGGACATAGTTACGACAAAGGTAATCACCTTGCCCCCAAGCTTCGTACGCAGTGCGTAGTTCAACATTGGTCTCATTTTCAGCAATAACCGGAGGGTCGTCCTTCAGGTATTTTACCAAACCCAAAGTGGTCTGGTAAAAATGCATCTTTTGTTGTCACCTTTTGAAATCAAGACCGTTGAATTTTTCGGGCTTCTCAGCAGTAGGGACATGGACAGTAGGTACATGATTATGAACAACAGGGTTGACGGGATGCTGTTGTTGAGAACCTTCTCCGGTGGATGCCATCAGAATTGATATGTAATTTTTCAGTTCTTACAAATAATCTAAAAACGGAAAATTACAATTGAACTGAAAAATAAATTACAACTGAAAAATTAAAACATAAAGAATTTAGCCGAGGGGAGTAAAACTCTTTCCGCAAGAAGAATACGCTCTGTGTGTTGCTAACGGTTCAGGCGTAACTTCCCCAAAGATACAACGACAAACGTCTCTAAATCTATAGCACAATAGATTTACGAGCTCCGGCGAACTGGAACCGAGTCGTGAATTTAGCACTTAAAAATAGAAATAAAAATATCTCTCTGATAATTTTTCTCTATTTTTATCACTAATATATTTTATCCCTCAATTATTCTTTTGGGACAGAATATTTTTCTATCTCTCTTTCTTCTCTCTATATTCTTTTTCTTCTTCCGTCTGGTGTGTTTTTCATTCAGCAGAAGCACATCTATTTATAGGAGGAAATGAGTTTGTAAAATAACCATTTGCAATATGGCCTTCACGAAAGCCAATGGAATGATAAGGTATGGGTACAAATCTTCACACAAACCAATGCAGAAGAATGGGCAATTTTCGGATGACAAATAATCCACTCAGAAAAGCACTCAAATTAGCATATGGGAACAAACTCAAGAGGCACACAACGCAATACTCAATGCAATATTTTAATAGAAGAGGAGCCCATACTTATTTATTTCCTCTCAATAATAACAATAAGTGCAGCAGCAGATCAAAGGAATGAGATGCATACAGAGCACAAAAGGTTCTTAATTGAAATGCAAGTAAAAGGGCAACCTGATCTTAATTCTTCTGTAGTCCATTGATTTGTTCAGATTTAGAAAGACACCGACTCGATGAAGATCTAAGCTTTGAAGCAGCACAGAGAAATATTGCACCAAACGAATCACTTGTTGGAGAAAGGTCGGGTCTATCTGGGCTTTTACTATGTCTCCCGAACATTTTCAGTACATATGGCGCACGCCTGCCTCAATGAGCACCATGTCTTTTCATACACTGGCGCAGGTCAGATGAAAACGAAAGAGAGATCGATTCCTTTCCCTAGAGGATTTGGTTGACTGACCACTCCCTTTCGTTATGTGCGGATCGCCTTTCGCTGAGCAGGTTGGATTCAACAGCTTGGCCAGTGAGGAAGGCATCTCTCAAGTTCGAATGCTTTTCTGCTGTTCAAATCAATCTCCTCGGTAAAGGACTTTGGTTTGGCTATTCTTGCTTTCAGTGAATCCCAGAACAACTCCTTAGTTCTTGAGTGAGGATCAATGGTTTTGAGAGATCCTGATTAGGCACCTATTAAGTTAAGGGCGTTTTACTCTTTTCCCGCTTGCAAGTTGTTAATTTTCGTTTACAAGAGCAAGAAAGGTTTTCCGACAGGCGGCGTGGAAAGTGCAGGTCTGCGCTGTGGAAACAAGATATCCCGTTATTTCCCATAACCTGTCTCTGCCAGACGAGGAGTCAATTCGAGGTGAGTGGCATTTGTTATTGAACGTACCTACCATCCATAGCATAGGAATGGACGCCAATATATACGCCAACCACTGGTGCACAGGACCCAAGGGGGGCGACATAGCACCGGGAATAGAGTCCTCGGCAGCAAATTTTTGGAGTGCTACCCGTGCTTGCCTACTTACTTACAACTCAAGGTTCCGAAGCTGCTTTTCTCCTGGTCTGTTTGGGATTTGGAGGTCTGTTCATCATGGCGTCCATATTTTTTTTTTCTTTTTACATAAACACAATTAAAAAAAAAAAATGAAATGATATCTATCACATTAACTTTACAAAAATGTCACATGCCAGTATAGGGATGTAATGGGTCGGGCCGGGTACGGGTTTTGACATACCCGTACCCGACCCACCTGTTAAAAAATGTACACGTACTTACCCAATTATCCACCACCGGGTTCGAGTTGAGTTTTACCCATCGGGTAATCGGGTACCCGAATTGGTGCAGCCGATCGAGTTAGATAGGGTTTTATTACCCGAATCTCACCCGATTACCTACACCTGACCCGACCCGATACGAATGACATCCCCAACAGTCAGCAACACAAAATCATAAACACAAATTTCAGATAATTAGGAAATATATCCTAGAAAATAATATCATTTATTTTCATAGCCTCCAACCTTGATCCAAGAAAAAATTGCACTAATTTTACCCTTCAATCAAATCTGTAAAAGTATTCGAATATTTCTCCTCAAGATAACATCATTTGAATGCTCTCTGCTATTTAATTTCATACAAATTCAGTTTCATATTCAACTTAACATAATAATTTCCATACAAGTTTTGTTTCACATTCAAGGATGAGAAACAAATAAATTTTTCAACAAAAAATAAGAAAATTTAAAAATTTACCTCCTTACTGTTAACAGTCGATCTAAGGCGTGGAGCAGCGATTTTGAATGACGGATGGGCAGAGCGGTGATTTGGGGATGGCAGATGGGCGGAGCAACGATTTGGGGACGACGGACGGGTGGAGGCGATTTGGGGACGGTGATAACTTAGGGACGAGAGCGAGAGTCGAAACGAGAGGATACAAAAGACGGGCAGATTTGGGGACAGCGATTTGGTTGCCTCTGGTTCTGTAGATTTTGGGGACGGCGACTTGGATAGAGGAGACGGTCATATTTAGGAATATTATGTTGAGCTGCCTTAATAAAATGTTATATTATGATTATAATATATAATATGAGAAGGGATCATATGAGAATGGTAGATAGTGAAAGAAATAAGAATGGTGCTGGACCATTGGATCCAATATATCAATGGTTAAGATCAAGCCAAATATTAAATATGATAGTCAAACATGCAATGGCATTGGTGTAAATAGGTGTTAACTTCATGGTCAAACCTACACATTTAAACATAAAATAAGGGTAGACTGGTAATTTTCAATTACACACATCACATGTGGGACCCACTACCACTCCTACCAACCTTTAATTTCTCTTTCACATAATCACACACACAAGTGACGGATTTTTAATTACAAACATTATTACTATTATGTTTTGCTATTATTATTATTATTATTTAAATTAATAAAGTATCTGACATTACCTAGAGGATTTTTAATAATAATAATACTAACAAATGAGAGAATTATATTGTGTAATAGGCGTAGGTACCTTTCGGGTTTGAAACTCCACTTAGGACACGTTTGTTTAGGTAGATAGGACAAGATTTAGCCCCTTGTCTGGCGGATATCCAGCGTTTGTTTACACTGATTACGGCCCGGCAGATTGGATGAGGCCCGCGATGAATAGTGCACTAATCCAGGTTTGCGGGGACTATTAGGTCGGGGCCAGGGGGGTATGATTCGATAATGTCTGCACAGTATCTGAAGTAGGAATGTCTAATATGCCCCAAAAAGTAAATTTATCTGCCTATAGTGTCCTCAGTCAACGGGTAAATTACTACACCATACCACTTCCATCTTCCACCACAAGAACAGACAAAAGAAATGGACCACAATAATTGACCTGTTTACGGAAGTTCCCCTCCGTCCCTCGAGGCTCGTATCTGCGTTCCCAGCCGCGGCCAAATACTTAGATCTGACCATCTCAAGGCGGATCAGGTGACAATCCGTAACGCTTGTGCACACATTTATCAGATCTGCGTTCCCCATTCATATTTTTTTTTTTTTTTGGTTTATACCTGGTATATGTTTAAAGTGGTAATTTTTACAGTTGCAGGGGGCTGAAGAACATGGGTACGTCCATATCAAGGCGTCTTTCTAAGATAAAGTTTGTACTCTAAAGTTTGTACTCCAATCTCACATTTGTTTTACTTAATTTTGGTTGTGGAATTCTTTGTTTTAGAAGGTTCCAAGTTAGTTGTTAATATAAATGTTATGTTTTGATGCTTCATTATCGGCCGTTAAGACCCAGAATTGTAAAAACTGAATCATTACATCCCGCTTCTATTTTTATTCGGTTCGTGCTAGTAATTATGCGTTCACCAAACCATTTTTTATTTTATTTTTTAAATTTCTTTTTGTGTTTCATTTTCGGGGTCCTATAGAATATGTTATCTACCGGTCGGAGGGCTATATAAGAACATTTACCGATGATGAGTACAACGTATTGAAATATATGGTACCAAACAGCACTCGGGGAGACATAACAACTAATCATCCGACACAACATTATGTTCGTTATTTTTCGCATAAGTTACATAATCGAAAAAACAATAATTGTTAAACGAGAAACCCAAAAAAATGCGGCAAACAAATAAATTAAAGAAAGGGCTATAATATTGTATCAAACACGATGCTGATGTCGATGCATAATATTATCCATGTTTTCGCTACTCGCTAAACAGCTGCCGAGATATTTTAATGTTTGATAACTACATTATTTTATGTATGAAGAAGTTATTACAAATAGACAAACATAAAGAAAAAATGTTGTAGAGTTTATAAATATGTGTACCAAAAATAAAATTTGCATGATTAAGCTTTTCTACTTTTGCATGATTAATGTGTTGAAGAAAAAATTGCATTTGTACCAAAAATAAAATAAAAAAAAAAAGAAAATTTTGTATGATGGGTAAATTAATTTTAAATGGTACCAACAGAAATGGGATCGGCTTACATATGGGACTATAGATATGTATTTCACACAGAATAAAAAAGACAGGTCGAAAATAACTGTACAAACCAAAGCCATGCAGAAAAAGAAAAAAAAAAGAAAAAAAAAACAAAAGAAGAGCACTTACGTGTGCGGATGAATTAAAATATGCAAAACAAAAGAGGGGCAAATATGTAAATGTGCTCCTTGTCAGAGTTTGGATCTAAGGAAACAAACACACAAAACAAATCATACAAATAATCTCATCTTGCATGAATCACCCCTAACAAACTTAAAATTAATCTTGTCTCTACATTCTAATCTTGGTCTTAAGGATTAAAGTTATCTAATCTTGTCTTCCTAAACAAATGTGCTCTTAGTGTATGTGGAAACATAAATAACAATATAGACATTGAATGTCCTTATCTATGCTCTTGGTTTACATGACAATCCATTACACACCACGGTATATGAGTAAATTATTGTGGTTCTATCAGTGGTGTGCTTTACGGTCATATACGGGAATCTTGTATCATGAACGTCATTAGGGAGTAGCCCATACCCCTGCAGTGACTACCCCACCACCGCGTTCACGTAGGTGAATCCTGTTATAAACTGGGTGTAAAAAAATACACGGGAATCCTACGAACTGATATGTAATTTTCAGTTCTTACAAATAATCTAAAAAATAGAAAATTACAATTGAACTGAAAAATAAATTGTAGCTTAAAAACTAAACGGAAAGATTAAAGCCGAGGCGAGTAAAACTCTTTCCGCAAGAAGAATACGCCCCGTGTGGTGATAACGGTTCAGGCGTAACTTCCCCAAATATACAACGGCAAACGTCTCTAAATCTGTAGCACACCAGATTTACGAGCTCCGGCAAACTGGAACAGAGTCGAGAATTGAACACTTAAAAATATGAATAAAAATATCTCTCTTTTGTTATTTTGATAACAAATAAATATTTTTTATATTTTTCTATTCTTTCTTTCTCTCTATCTTTCTCTTCTTTTCTTCTGTGTCCTTTCTTCTTCTGCCGATCACCCTATTTATAGGGAAGAAAGAACAAATAATACCTGGCCATAATCACCTGCCCATAATCAATTATTACAACACATTAATAATGCAGAGGAAACTTCACGCATCTCCAACACAATTGCCATGTTCTGATGCCTTCACATGAAGCTCCCACTCTTCACATGTTAATAACTGCCACCCTTAATTATTGATGCAATACAAAAAGAAAGGTGGGCCCAATTTACACTCAGTTACAACAATCCCCCACATGAGTGTAAATCAAATATGTATATTATTATGCTCAATCCTCACAAAACTCTATTGCATCAGAGAAGGTAGCTTTTGACTTTGAACCTTTCTTTGTAAACATCATCGGATGCACTGGCGGACTAGTGGACATAATGGCTTGAACTATTCCTCCATAGTGTACACCTAGACAATGACATTTACACAATAGAGTCTTAACTCCATTCCGTTCTATCGTTGTGTCTGTTTTGGTCATGGACAACACAATGGATTCATAAGTGTTTACATTTGAAGCGGCCCACACTTCACACTTATATAGGTGACCTCTGTATCAAGAGTATCCTGTTATACTCCACCTTAACAAGGTTAGGGATTCATTAAAAGTCCACATGACTTACCCTCACCACAATCAACAGGTCATCTTGCACTTGGAGTGCTCTAGGGAATAGCTTTGGACATTCATATGTTCCAAGTGCTTAACTAAATTTTCATAGCTTAGTTTTACCTTTGAACCAAGTTCATGTGATCTCCACTCAGCAGGGTAGGGTTACCACTATGATCATTCTTTACATTGTGGATTTTTAAGACCATTCCCTCTAGCAAAACTACCAATTGATCTCTATTCAATCTTTTCGTCAAAGGATCAACCAAATTTTCCTTAGACTTCACATAGTCAATGGAAATAATACCTTTTGTGATCAATAGGCGTACGATATTATGTCTAGGCTTACCGTTATACAAGTTGCTTTGCGCCCTACCTATAGCAGCTTGGCTATCACAGTGAATCATCACAGGCGGCAAAGTCTTATCCCAACATGGAATATCGGATAAAAAATTCCTAAGCCACTCGGCTTCTTCACCTGCTTTATCTAAAGCGATGAACTCCGATTCCATCGTTGACCGAGTTATATAAGTTTGTTTTGTGGATTTCCACGAAACTACACCTCCTCCAATACAGAAAACATATCTGCTAGTGGAGCGAGAATCTCTCGAATCTGATATCCAGCTTGCATCACAGTACCCTTCAAGTACGTTTGGATATCTCGAGTATTTTAGCCCGTATTCAAGGGTGTACCTCATGTACTTAAGTACCCTTCTTGATGCATTCCAGTGCTCATGACTGGGATTACTCATAAATCTGCTCAACTTATTCACTGGATCGGCCAAGTCTGGTCGTGTACAATTTGTCAAGTACATCAGACTCCCTATTATCCGTGAATATTCCAATTGAGCCACTAGTTGACCTTTATTGGCTACCAGATTTATACTGAGATCAAGGGGTGTCTTACACCTAGACTGTGCACCGTCATAGGTATCAAATTTCTTGAGCACTTTCTATACATAATAAGATTGTGACAAGACAATTCCATCATGGGTTCTGATAATCCTTATTCCAAGAATAACATCAGCCAAACCTATATCTTTCATGTCGAAATTTCTGTTCAACATTCTTTTTGTATCCATGATCACTTCATGGCTACTCCCCATGATCAACATATCGTCTACATATAGACATACAATCACAAATGTATTTCCTGTACTCTTAACATAAACACATTTGTCACATTCATTGATTTTGAAATCATTTGACAACATCACGTCATCAAATTTCAAATGCCATTGTTTCGGAGCTTGTTTCAGCCCGTACAAGGATTTGATCAATCTACACACCTTTCTCTCTTGTCCAGGTGCAACAAACCCTTCAGGTTGTTCCATGTATATTTCTTCTTCCAATTCACCATTCAAAATGCCGTCTTGACATCCATTTGGTGAATCTCAAGATTGTGCAAAGCAGCAATCGAGAGAAGCACTCTTATCGACGCTAAACGTGTAACTGGTGAATAGGTATCAAAGAAATCATACCCTTCCTTTTGTTTAAAGCCTTTGACCACCAAGCGTGCTTTAAACTTATCAATCGATCCATCAGCTTTATATTTCTTCTTTAGGATCCACTTGCATCCTAAAGGTTTACAACCATCAGGGAGATCAACCAACTCCCAAGTATGGTTCTGTATAATGGACTCGATTTCGCTATTTACAGCTTCTTCCCAGAGTGGTCCATCTGGGCTGGACAGAGCTTCCTTAATGGAACTCGGTTCATCGTCCAACATACACGTAATAAAATCACGTCCAAACGTTTTAGCCGTTTTTACCCTTTTACTACGTCTCGGTTCTTCATCAGTACCCTCTGGTACAGAACCACTAGCAGTTTCATATGTTCGTTTATTAGAACTAGATTCTACCATTTCCTTTAGAGGAGATATATTCTCAAAGAATATATCATTCCTCGACTCAATCGTGGTACCAACAGATACATCTAGATTTTCTGATTTATGAACCAGAAATCTATATGCTGAACTATTGTACGCATATCCAATAAACACACAATCGACCGTCCTTGGCCCGATTCTCATTTGTTTGGGTTCAGGAACTGAAACCCTAGCCAAACACCCCCACACTTTCAGGTTTTTATAAGACGGCTTACTATTTTACCACATTTCGTAAGGAGTCTCATTTTTTCCTTTAGGTGGTATTTTATTCAGAATATGATTTGCTGTTAAAACAGCTTCCCCCCACATGTTTTGGGGTAATCCTGAATTTATCAACATGCATTCATCATTTCTTTTAACGTACAGTTCTTGCGTTCAACAACACCGTTCGATTGTGGAGAATAAGGGGCCGTTGTTTGATGAATTATGCCATATTCAGAACATATTTGTTCAAAAGGAACTACATACTCCCCACCCCAATCACTTCGAATTAATTTAATCTTCTTGCTGAGTTGATTTTCAACTTCGGTCTTATAGATCTTAAACGCTTTCACAACCTCTTCTTTGCTTCTTAACAAATATAAGTAGAAAAACCTTGTGCAATCATCGATAAAAGTAATAAAATACTTTTTACCAGTTTTTGTTTGCACAT